GCGGGCTCAGGCAATCCACTCATCTCAGCCTCCCAAAGGCGTGGGATTACAGGCTGAGCCACAGAGCCTGGCCCAAGCTCAGAATTTTAATGCAAATGAGGTAGAGAAAGAAAAGAGAACAGAAAATAGAAATGTCTAGCAGCCTGACTGGATAGTGTTGATTTGGTGGAAAGACCCTATATTAAAAAATGCTTCATGTAAATATTTCCCCACTGGGCAATAGGGTGGGTCTTAGAGCACCTATGACCTGTATTGGTCTACCACCTTTAATAGCAAAAATGTCATCTAAACATAAAGGATAAAATGGCAAGGAAGCCACAGCAACTGGAAGTTTTTTGGGGGTCCAAAAGCATGCTGTACTTGTCTGGTTATTCTAGACTGAGCCACTTTGGCATTTGGGTAAATAAAGAGATAATTTTGTCACTATAAGATATAACTATAAAATAGACCATTTTTCAGGAAATTGACAAAGTAGTGATTTGTGCAGGTACTCACCAGAAATTATAATCTAAACATTTTATTTTTGATTTTAAATTATTTATCTGTAATTTTTCAGGAAATTGACAAAGTAGTGACTTGCGCAGGTACCCACCAGAAATTATAATCTGAACATTTTACTTTTGATTTTAAATTATTTATCTGTAAATTAAGCTTTAAAGCTTATTTGAACTATGTATGCTCAATATAAGTCGTCAGTGAGATCATTTGAAATGAGCTGGTTCTAAGACATTGTGGAGAAAACTCTGTAATAAAATCTACTAGGACATTGTGGAGAAAACTATGTAATAAAATCTTGAGATTCTGTTTGTCACCAGACTCATTAATTGGAAAAAATTTGTCAATTTAGTCTTTATTACTATCAGAACCATAAAGACAAAATAAACCTATATTCATTATGTATATCACAGGAGAAAGGATATGTTACATGTTGATGAAATGTTAGCAGATGGATTGCTGAGGAAGCTTTGTCCTGTTTTCCTTAGTGTTTTAAATCATTAACAGTTCATCTTCATTTGAAAACAAATGCCTTTATATAGTGAGGGCTCATTAATTATTGGTAAAAGAGAGGGAGGACAACTAGAACTCATTTTCTTTCCCTTTTTTTTTTTTTTGAGAGACTCACTCCATTGCCCAGGCTGGAGTGTAGTGGCATGCTTACGGCCACCCCAGCATCAGTCGGCTGGGCTCAGGCGATCTTCCTCAGCCTTCCAAATAACTGGAACCACAGGTGTGCACCACCATGCCTGGCTAATTTTATTATTTATTTATTGTAGAGGCGAGGTCTTGCCAAGTTGCTCAGACTGGTCTCGAACCCCTGGGGCTCAGGCAGTCCTCTTGCCTTCACCTCCCACAGTGTTGGGATTACAGGCTTGAGCTAGCTAGCGCACCTGGCCATAACTCTTAAGATCAATTGTTACCTGCAATTTTTAATTCTCTTTTACTGCACGTTAATAACTTTCTGACTTTTTGAATGCATGGTCGCAGTTTGAATTACATTAATATACTATTTCCATGTGGTTATCATATTTACAAGTGAATATTGAAGTCTGAATAATTAAGTATGATGCTGATTTCTATTGTTTCTTCAGTATAGCACAGTAAATTACCAGGATTCTTTTATTCACATGTATATTCTGATTACAGACAACTGAATTTGGTTGTTCATCCTGCCCCCCTGCCTTCTGAATGTTTTGGATTTATTCAGCAAACCTCTGCAAGATCTCCTTTGTATCTGGCCTCCAGTTCATTGCCCTTAAATTCACAATTTAAAAGATCGCATCAAAACACCTCCAGGGCATCAGAATTAGATTTACTTGAAACTCCTCTTGTAGTTAAGGTTAGTATTACATATCTAGCATTCATAATGAAACTAAGGAGTTCTTATTTTTCAAGTAGCAAGGAGAAAATAGGCTGTTTATAACTGATGTCTCTGGGGAATGCTGGGAAATGCTTTAAGCATTTTTTATATTTTTATTTTTCATGGATATCCTTCCAAAATGCTTGTCATATCTTTACATTTTCTAAAAACAGAGTTGATTAAATTTACCCCTTCCTGCTTAAAGTTACAGTCACACTGTTGTCTTGAATGTAATGCAAGGGATGCTCTGGTTATTATAAATTTGACTTTGTCTTTTGTAAATGGTTTAAAGTTGTTGAGTTTGTTTTTATTTTTTATGTAAACTTCATTGCTGGTACCTTTATGCTGTTATTTCTTCCTTCTATGAAATACTTTTTTGTTCTTAGGTTTATTTTTATTCATTTAAATTTTCTGACTCTTGATATAACTATTATTTGTTACTCCTTCCCACTATTGGTTTATCCTTAAAATTGCTTTTTTTCCTCTGCTTACCCCCCTATTGTAACTTACTAGCTGGGAAACCACAACCCTAAACTTGTGATGACTGGTAGCAGTGGTCTTTTACCCTCCCATTTTCAAAGTATTTTTGCATATTCCTCTACTTGGTCAATGTTCTGTATTGAATGCTGGAAGCATTCTTCCTTTTTTTAATGTAAAAAAAAAAAAAAGTTTTCTGGGTTCTCTGTTCTAGATATCCAACACTTATGGTGAAACTAGAGAGTACTTATTTTTCATGTTGAACAAAAGGTACCTCGATAAATGTTATTTCTGAAATAATGATAGTAATTATTATTATTATTTTGAGTTGGAGTCTCACTCCGTTACCCAGACTGGAGTGCAGTGGCATGCACGTTCATGGCCACCCCAGCATCAACCTGCTGGGCTCTGGCAATCCTTCTGCTCCAACCTTCCAAGCAGCCAGAACTATAGGCACGCACTACCATGCCTGGCTAATTTTTTATTTATTGTCGAGACGAAGGCTCACCAAGTTGCCCTGGCTGGTCTTGAACCCATGGACTCAGGCAATCCACTCACCCCGGCCTCCCAAAGTGCTGGGATTACAGGCTGAGCCACCGAACCTGGCCTAAAAATAATTATTAAAAGAAGTTGAAAACAGGCTGGATGAGATTATTAGGTTCCTCCAATTTAATATTCAGTGTAGTATCTTAAACTTATTTTTATTATCAAAAAACTATCAGGTTTTGTATTCTTTACAGCTAGGTTCAAATGAAAGAAATCGGGAAATAATTTGTACATGCTGCCAAATAGTCTTGAAAAAAGAATTGTCATAATCTTGTAGCATGTCTAACAGAATTCATTAATTTAGTGGGATTCAATGATCTGTTTACTAGTTCTTGAGAGGACAAGTGAAGAAATTCTTTCTACTAAATAATGTACATGCTAATTTTAAATTTTCATTCATTATACTAAAACTTCAGAGGTTTCTAATAAGTAATTTGGTTATTATTTGAGTCATTGATAAATATGTGTTAAATAACTTATTTTACTAATTAGCACTTTATTTTGATTTATTTATTTATTTATTTAGAGTCATCCAGGCTAGAGTGCGGTGCTGTGCTGACAGCCACCATAGTGTCTGCTGGGCTCAATCGATCCTTCCACCTCAGCCTTCCAAGTAGCTGGGACTATAAGCACATGCCACCACACCTAATTTTTTTTTTTAATTAAAGAGAAGTCTCACCATGTTGCCCAGGCTGGCTTCAAACTCCTGAGCTCAGGCAATCCTCTCACCTCAGCCCCAATGTGATGTGATTAATTAACATACACGAACTACTTGCCTGGCTGCAATTTTACTTTTTTCAGCCTTAACATAGCAATTACTGGTAGAATTTTGAAATTTTCTTTCCAGTAATCTGGAATAAAAATTTCTAATCATATATTTATTGGAGATGAGAATACAATTACTGTTGTGACTCCAATGACTCAGTCTGTTTTTATGTAAGCACCTTTTACAAATACTAATTGTATAATTTTAATTTTTCTTTGTCATAGAAAGCTAAGAGTTTGGCTATGTCAGTTACGTCTTCTGGATTTGCTGAATTCACTCCCCAATCCATCCTAAGGCCTGGTCTTCGAATAGCACCTTCAGAGTCACCCTCTCTATCACCCAGAAGGTCTCTTACTCCTCCTTTACGACTTAAAGAGGGTAGAATTTCATTTGTGGAAGAAGACATGAACACAGAACAGACTGCTGGTGTAAGTTTGATGATGACAATGTTACTATACATTTCTTTTATTACAGTCTTGCAGATAGTCATGAAATCAGAAAAGATTAGTTCTGAATGAAAAGCCAGGACCATTTGTTGCTAAGCCAAACCCACCATTTTACAGATAAAGAAAATAGGGCTCAGAAAGGAAGCACCAAGTAGGTTGCCTGCAGTCAATTAGATATTTGGTGGTAGAAATGAGACTAGAATTCAGACATCCTAATTCCTAGTCCATGTGTGTGTTTGTTTGACCTTTTATTAAGTTCCTAACTGGTGGTTTATTGAGGGTGGAGGTACGTCTTTAGAGCTCCATTTAGGTTAATAGGAATCTTGGTGATTATTGGTCATCTAGCCTATTCTACATTTTAGTCTTCTGAAAACAATATATTACCAATTATGGAAACATAAACCACCATTAACTTTAATTATCTGAAGAGAATAGATTTGGAATAAGTGAATTTTGATTAAGGAAAGAGTTTAGAGAAACAGAGCATGGAAAAAAGGGTGTGGTCATGATTGGGATGGTAGCTTAGGACTAGACAGTGATACTTAAGTGATACTGCTTAATTTTTTTCTTTTGAAAATCTTACTTAACAGGCTTCAGATGATAGCAAAGCCAAAGTGTCTGTTACTATACCTTTTCAAAAATGTGACGTTCCAGCAGAAACTGAATGCCTGAAGAATAAAGATAAGACCACGTCTTTTTCCCTGAACAGCCCTGAAAAGGACCACCAAGGAATGAATCTGAGGTCACAGAATACACCCTCAGAAAGTTTGGAGAAACTGGATGTGAGCAAAGAAAACAGCAATGCTTCTTTCAGATCAGACCAGACTTCTTTAGAATATCAGGATGCACTGTCCTCGGGAGATTTTGAAGATATTCTTCTTGCAGACTCTAAACCAGCAAGTTCTTCCACTGAGCTAGATAATAATTTAACTGAACAGACTGAAAAAGTCAGTGATGAAGATGTGTTTGAGTTAAAAGTAACTCCTTCAGAGAAACAAATGGGTAAGAACTCATTTCCAAATACTCAAAATTGCTGTTAATTTTCCTCAGTAAAATTTATTACTTGTTTTCATTTGAGTTGGAATCTCACTCTGTGGCCCAGGCTGGAGTGCAACAGCATGCTCATGGCCACCCCAGCATCGACCTGGTGGGCTCCAGCGATCCTTCTGCTTCAGTCTTCCAAGTAGCCGTAACTATAGGGACACACACCACCACGCCCTGCTGATTTTTTATATTTATTGTAGAGACATGGTCTCGCCAGGTTGCCTGGGCTGATCTTGAACCTGCAGGCTCAGGCAGTCCACTTGCCTCAGCCTCTCAAAGTGCTAGGACTACAGGCTGAGCCACTGAGCCTGGCCAGTAAAAATTTTAATAGCATTTTTTTCACCATAAGAAAAACCATCAGGATTAAGTAATTATTACATGCTTACAGTAGACCAGTTCCCAAACATCGTGCACAAATGTTCTTCTTTCAGCTTGCAAGTATGGCTTAACAGTTTTTCATAAATGGGTATGAGATTTGAAGGGAGAACTTAATGTGTTTTACTTTTCTTATTTTGCCATGAAATTTAGAAAAGAACAGTATTGTTTAAGGAAGGAAATGTAAGATGCCATAACCTGACTTGAAAGACCTTCCAGTAGCTATAAGAAATAGTATTAACTTTACATACTAAATTGTTACTGTAATTTTTTTGTTGTTGAGTTGGAGTCTCACTCTGTCGCCCATGCTGGAGTGCAGTGGTATGCTCACAGCCACCCCAGCGTCGACCTGCTGGGCTCCAGCGATCCTTCCACCTCAGCCTTCCAAGTAGCCAGAACTACTGGCATGCACTACTACACCCAGTTTTTTTATTTTTTTGATGTACTGTACAGATGAGGTCTCGCCAAATTGCCCGGGCTGTTCTTGAACCTGTGGGCTCAGGCAGTCCCCTCACCTCAGCCTCCCAAAGTGCTGGGATCACAAGCTTGAGCCACTGTGCCCGGCTGTAATTTTTAACTTACACAGCAAAGTCAACTCTCTAGAAATGTGCTCAGAAACCAGGAATTTCATTCTACTCTCCATTCCTACCTCCAAAATAGTCACTGGACAATCAAAATAAATGTCCAATGGCCCATGAGTTTGTCTTTATTTTCATCGACCTATCAAAAAAATGTTTGTATATCCTAATGTATATCCTCTAATTTAGCTTCCCCTCTGTGTACTGGTTGTTGAAGATCAGTGAGTAAAGTAGACATGGCACCTGCCCACACACAAGCAATGCAGCCTGGTTAATGCCATGTTGAGAGGCATAGGAGAGGCTAGGGAAACACCCCTAAGGGGAAAGACTTGATCTAGAATTGGTAGATTAGAAAACCAAGCCTATTTTTGTGTTTTGCAACACCCCCTCACCACAGTTTTACCAAGTTTATTTAAAGATGACTCCTAGCCGGGCTCGGTGGCTCAGCCCGTAATCCCGCGCCTTTGGGAGGCTGAGGTAAGTGGATTGCCTGAGCCCGCGGGTTCGAGACCCGCCTGGGCAGGCGAGACCTCATCTCTACAATAAATAAAAAAATTAGCCGGGCATGGTGGCACACGCCTGTAATTCCGGCTACTCGGAAGGCTGAGGTGGAAGGATTGCCGGAGCCCAGCAGGTTGAGGCTGCGGTGGCTGGGAGCGGCGGCCACTGCACTCCAGTCTGGGCGACAGAGTGAGCCTCCAAATCAAAAAAAAAGATAACTCCTAACTTCAAACCTGTCAAACCACATATTTATGTAAATCTATGTCATAGGTAGTTTCTTCTGGGAAATATTTGCTGCCTAGGATGAACTAAAATCCACCCCCGCCTTTGGTGAGAAATTTGTTTTTTGGAAAAATTGTTTATTGATACATAGTAGATGTACATATTTTCAGGGTACATGTGATAATTTGGTACATTCATTTAATATGCTGAGATCAAATCAGAGTTATTGAGATAAATCACTGCCTTAAATATTTATCTTTTCTTTATGTGAACTAAGATTTCTTAATATGTGAGTTCACTGAAGTTTGGACTATGATATCTTTATTTAGAAGCCATAGGTGTTATTAATTGCTCTAGGAACTTTAGGACTATGCTCATAAATAGCACATGTCTAGAAATTTACATTGTTCTTTTGATGTGCCATTTCTACTAAAATATTTAAATGGTAAATATTAGATGATACTGTTCATGGCAGTATCTTTATTATTCTTATAATATTAATCTCAAATAGAAATCTTTATGTTTTGGGGGTGGTTATCATATAGCACAAAACTCTAGAGTGAAACAGGCTAAATTTAATCCTCACTCAGCTATTTACTAAGTAGGCTTTGTGATCGGGTAAGCAGTCTAACCTTAGGCTTCGATTTTCTCATCTACTTCTTTGGATATTGAGCATTAAGTGAGGTAGTACATATACTTGAATTAGTGCACGTTAAACCCAAAGTGAGAAGTGGGAGATTAGTAGGGCTCTTGAGCTAGACTGAGAGAATAAGGAAGTATTGACCAGGCTCAGTGACTCAGCCTGTAATCCCAGCACTTTGAGAGGCTGAGGCAGGTGGATTGCCTGAGCCTGCAAGTTTAAGACCAGCCCGGGCAACTTGGTGAGACCTTGTCTCTACAATAAATAAAAAATTAGCAGGGCATGATAGCACACACCCTGGTTCCGGCTACTTGGAAGGCTGAGGCAGAAGGATCTCCAGAGCACAGCAGGTTGACACTGGGTGGCCATGAGCGTGCCACCGCACTCTAGCTAGGGTGATGGAGTGAGACTTCAACTCAAAAAAAAAAAAAAGAAAGAAGTCTTAGTAGACCCAACATCTGGCTAGCTAGAACCCAAGCTTTACCTGTATGTAATAAATCCTCACTTGTACCCCACAACTCTGAAAGAAAGTAGCACAGATAATACATTTTTTAAAAGTAATAGTCCAAGACTATAAATAATCACTGAACATTTAGCAAAAATAATACTCTTATCTGTATGGTTTATAGACCCTTTAGAAGACACAGAAGCAAAGGATCTTTTAGTTGCAGAGGCGACATTTTCAGAATTAAATCACTTAAGCTCCGTTCAAAGAGTTGAAACTTCTCTTTGTGTACCACCAATCTATGAAGGGTAAGTTTATGGAGAAAAATTCAAATCCTTTTAAAAATAAGTTTAATGAAATTGTGAACTGGAAGTAAAATATTCTATGTGTATTAGATCTCATTTAAACCTTTGACCTCTCCATTTTGGTAATGTTGACTGTTTTAAAAGAAGTTTAGTTGTATAATTGTGTTATTCACTACCATAATTCAGTAGTTACCACAAAATCTTAACAACGTTACTAGATAGTTCCAGAATATACAGAGACATGGTGAATTGAGACAGAACTCTTATTCTTTGGAAATTCTATGTGTTGATGACAAAAAGTTTTGCTCATAGCTATGCATTCCTTCCTGGCCTTTCCTTTTCAGTGGTTTCAGGATGATCAGGCACAGAACTCCTGTAGGACCAAAGTGAAGCTGGGCACAGTGGTTCACGCCTGTAATCCCAGCACTTCGGGAGGCATAGACGAGAGGATTGCCTGAGTCCAGGGGTTTGAGACCAGCCTGGGCAAACTGGCAAGACCTCATCTCTACAATAAATCAAAAAATTAGCTGGGCATGGTGGCACATGCCTATAGTTCCAGCTACTTGGAAGGCTGAGGTGGAGGGATTGCCTGAGCCCAGCAGGTCAAGGCTGCAGTGGCCGTGTGCTTGCCACTGCACTCCAGCCTGGGCGGAATAATAATAATAACAAAATGAAGTCTAGGGGAGGTGACTCAGAGACAGTTTCTTTCCTACCATTTGTCATATAAGACTATAGCTAAGTTTTTGTTTTTTAATGACTAGTTGAAAGATACTTTCAAATTTTATTGACACTTTGTACGAAGAAGCAGCAATCTACTTAGATGATATAGGGCAGTGCTATTCAAAGCATGACCAGGCAGATTTTTGAGAGTCTGTTTATGGTCTGCAACAAGATAAATAACTTGCATTGGAATATAAATCAGCGCACTTCTTCCTATACTGAAAATCAGCTCAACTTAACAGTATGGTTAGTAAAGTAATTAATTCACCTTCTGGCAAAAGTTTTTTATCTCATGGCAAAACTGGACATCGATTGCACATCAACACTTTGAGTAACATTGTAGAGGATACAAAAAAATGACATTGAGTAGAGGATACAAAAAAGTGACAGTTTCAAGAAGTAGTAAGATTAATCTACATAAGACATCGTAAATGGTTCATTGCTTGATAAATAATGAAAGTGATTGTTCAAACCAGCTACAAAATTCAATATCATTATAGTCATTTCTTTACAATTATTGAATCATGTGCTTCACTTCTGAGAAATCTAGATTAGCTGGAAAGTTTGCCAGACATTCATGGGAAAAGTGGGAGAAACCAATATGGAAGAATTATTCAAAATTATTGTCTTCTAATGTTTTTTGACTAATGCAAGTGAATGTTATTTATTGCGATGGGTTTGATTGGTAATTGTAATAATCACAGAGCAATCACATGAGAAGAAACTTTGTAGTCACCAGTGAGAATCTAAGTGAAATATTCACTATCTTGGCAAACTAGTTATTTTTTAAATATATGCTTATTTGATATTTTGTGAAAATTTGTCATTGGTTCTCAGTTATTATTATAAATGTGACTGAGATTTCTTATAAAAGGTTATAAATAAATGTCTATATATCAGATACCTGCTTTGTCTTGAATTTACTTAAAAATACTATTGTTTCTATTTTCAAACATCCCCATCCTTAAGTTGTGTTTTGAGAAAGGCCAGCTTAGAATAGGGAAGGACCACTGTCAGCATATTCCAGAATTTATTTTCTTTTGTTTTTGTTTTTGTTTTTTGTTTGAGTTGGAGTCTCACTCTGTCACTCAGACTGGAGTGCCGTGGCCGCTCCCGGCCACTCCAGCCTCAACCTGCTGGGCTCCGGCGATCCTTCCGCCTCAGCCTTCCAAGTAGCTGGAACTACAGGCGCGTGCTACCACATCCGGCTAATTTTTTTTTTTTTTTTTTTTTTTTATTGTAGAGATGTGGTCTTGCCAAGTTGCCTAGTCGGGTCTCAAACCTGCGGGCTCAGGCAATCCTCTCACCTCAGCCTCCCAAAGTGCTGGGATTACAGGCTGAGCCACCGAACCCAGCTCAGAATTTATTTTCATCATGTGGATTAATACAGTTCCAATTGGTTTCCCATTTGGAGTCATTTATCATACTCTTCCCAGTTGGCATTAAAATACTGAACTTTGCTTCTGCTGAGTACATGGAAAATATTCTTTAATATTTGACAGACTTATTTGAAGAATACAGTCACAGACTATGCAAAATTGGCTTAAGTATAATTTGTACTGATAGACATTTAAAAATAATTTTTTTGTACTTTTAAGTCCATGCCATTGTTACCCAGAAAAGTCAAATATTAGAAAATAGGAAAAACAAGTACAGCATTATTTCTAAATTCACTTGTAAATGTTGTATTATTGTTCAGAATGAACTTGAATGGTGTTGATCTCTCTGACCCTCAGTTTTCATAAACAAAATGACAGGCAGTGGGACTAAAGCAGGTCAGAGTAGATAGGATCGTCTAAAGTATATATTTATTTTTCTCTAAAGTATATATTTATTTATATATATATGATTACTAAAGTATATATTTATATTTCTAAAGAAAAATCCCCACCATGAAGCTCAGGTTACCAGAGTTGGATGAAGGACTGATATCTGCTGAAACCTGCACCTCTGCAGTTAGATTGGATAACAATAAATGTACGTATTATTTTGACTTCAGGATTATTTCATTTTGGTGTTTTGGGTAAAGAGTTTTTTATTCTTAGAACAAAATAATCTTTTATTCAGATTTTTTTTAATTCTCAGTTCTTCTCTCTGGTCAACTTTCCTGGCATAAAAGTGTTCTCAGGAGATGTATCAGCTATCAAAACAATGGGTTGTTTATAAGGCGTTCTGTGACTCTTTAAGGATGAAAGTCTTAGAATAGTTTTTGTGGATATATTTTCCTTTGTAACATGAAAAAAGTAAAGTAAATTACTAGTCCACAGCCAGACTGTATACCTGCTATTTGATCTTGGACTCAGATGCTTACGTAGGACAACTTTCATTTTTATTCTGTGGTTGTGATAACTTAAGGCCAAGGTTGGCTCTTCATTATTAGAAAACAATCATAAATGACTGAATTTACTCCAGGGAAGTTAACAAATATATGGAATTTATTTAATTTTTTTATCCAATGAGAAAATTTTTTTGAGTGCCTCTTCTTAGGTTCTGGCTATACAGAGATGAAGAAGATACATTTTCCTCAGTGAGCTTGCAGTTGAGTTTAGGAGAAGCGGACACCTTGAATGTCTATGCCCAGAATTTGTCTAAGCATTTCACATACATTAACTCATTTAATCCTCCCCACACTACACTATGACATAGTTATCTGATGCTAGAGCCCATGTTCTTTTCTTTTTGTTTTGTTTTATTTTTTGAGTTGGAGTCTTAACTCCGTCGCCCAGGCTGGAGTGCAGTGGCACACTCATGGTGGCCACCCCAGCATCGCCCTGCTGAGCTCTGGTGATCCTTCCAAGTAGCTGGAACTACAGGCGCACACTACCACATTCAGCTAATTTTTTTTTTTTAATTATAGCAATGAGGTCTCACCATGTCGCCCAGGCTGGTCTCGACCCCATGGGTTCGGGCAATCCATTCGCCTCGGCCTCCCAAAGTGCTGGGATTATAGGCTTAAGCCACTGTGCTCAGCCAGAGCCCGTGTCTTAACTGTGGTGGCTTTGTGCCTATCATATTATGAATGGAGCTTAGCACAAGCTTAAAGCAGTTTGATTTTTACCCCCTGATTAAAAATGTAATATATGCTTATTACAAAATAATCCAGAGAGAATTGTCTAACATGTAAAGTAAAAACCTGGTTATCCCTATGTGTTTTAAAAAGGAGATAATATGGTGGCTAGAGAGCACAGGGACTTGAACCAGATTGATTGGATTCATAACCCAGTTCTTCATTTATTAACTGTAAGACTGGGCTATTCCTCTCTTTTTTTGTTGGTAAAATATTAATAGTTTCAATGGGAATAGTAATAATGCCCATTTCATAGCGTAGTAAAGATTAAGTCAGTTCATGTAACATGTTTAGAACATTGCTTGACTCCTGAAGTTTAATAAATGCTGATTATTATAAACATTATATTACTAGTACATGTATTATCCAAAAAAAAACAATTTTCTTTTTTTTTTTTTTTTGAGTTGAAGTCTCACTCTGTCACCCAGGCTGGAGGACAGTGCACTCTCCCGGCCACTGCAGCCTCAACCTGCTGGGCTCCTGTGATCCTTCCACTTCCACCTCTGCCTTCCAAGTAGCTGGAACTACAGGCGTGTGCTACCATGCCCAGCTAATTTTTTATTTATTTTAGAGACAGGTCTTGCCAAGTTGCCCGGGTGGGTCTCAAACCCACAGGCTCAGGCAGTACTCTCGCCTCAGCCTCCCAAAGTGCTGGGATTACAGGCTGAGCCACCAAAAAGCAATTTTCTTAATATACTTTAAGACATTCTTCTATGTCAGTAATACAGATTGATCCTATTGTTTTTAATGACTCTAACAGTGTGGATACTCTATGGTATGCTTAACTAGTTAATTATATATATATACACTTAACTAATTAACATATATATATGCTTAACTAATTAATTTTATTTATATATATACACACACACATATATATACACCATTCTTGTTTGTTTTTTGGTTTGCTACTTCATTTCTGCAATGAATATTCTTGTTTTTGCATATTCTATGTCAGTATTTCTGTTGGGTAGATTCCTAAATGTAGACTTGCTGAGTCAAGGAGTATGCACTGATTTTTAATATTTTATTGTTGTCTACGGTAAAGGTTGTATAGCATTTTCATGTTCCTGTTGATGAATGGAAAGTAAAGTGCCATTTTTCCTTGCCAAACTGACAGGTGGAAAACATTTTTCATTTGTGTTTTATTGGTATTTGCGTATTAGGGATAATAGCCCTGTTATCTGTAAGTGTGGAAATATTTTTTCCTATGAGCTATGACTACTAATAATATTAAACTTTGACAAAGAGGAAGATGAAAGAAATTTTTTTAAGTGAGCCCCTGGATTTTTTTTTTTAAAGTGGTAGAGTGCATTTGTATCCATTTGAAATGCTTTCTGCCAAAAAAGAGAGATTCATTCTTTTTCTTAGATCAAAACCCAGACTTCATGTCTCTCTTGTAATTCTACAATGGGTCAACAGTGATAACCGGTCGTGTAGTAGTTACCTGGTATATGCAGTTTTCAGACTAATAAGGAACAAATACCTGAACTTCTTCAGTATAGTTTGTCATTTTAAAGTTTCATGGTAAGGGCAGCAGTTATATTCCAGTTGAGAAAAATCAATTTTAAAAATTTTAATTTAATTAATTGATTTATTTTTTGAGGCAAGGTCTTATTCTGTCAACCAGGCTCAACCAGGCTGGAATGAGTGGCATAGTCATAGCTCACTGTAACATTGAGCTCTTAGGCTCAAGTGATCCTCTTAGGCTCAAGTGATCCTCCTGTTTCATCCTCCAGAGTAGCTTGGTGTATAGGTCCTTGCTGACACACTGGCTAGTGTTTTTTTTTGTTTTTTTTTTTGTAGAGGTAATGTCTCATTATGTTGCCCAGGCTGATCTTGAACTCCTGGCCTCGAGCAATCTTTCTGCCTCCCAGAGTGCTGGGATAACAGGTGTAAGCCACTGCACCCAGCCTACTGGCAGTTTTTATAAATGTGGAATTTATCTTCTGTGTTTTATCTTGATGGAAAACAAATATGTATTGTCTAAGATGTTAAACTTTCAAGCTTTTTCTAGCTTTTTGATAATCTATTAAGATAATATGCTCAAGGGCAATATAGCTTTTCCCTTTCTGTTTGCTTCTTTAATTGTGTGTAGATCTATTTTTCTGTTTAAAATATAAAAGATTAACTCTCATTTTTGTTTCAGCTATGGCCAGTGTCCTTGGTAATAGTGGAAACTCTGGGCTCCCTATTCCTGAAGGTCCTATTAACTCCGACCATAAGCTTGACCTGGAAGCAGCACTACACTTAAAAGAAGATCAGGAAATAGAAGTTGATTTACTAAGCGAAAGTGTTGACTTACCAGAAGAAAAGCCTCCAATTTCTGACAGTGCTCCTGATGCTCAAGAAATTCATGTAAAAAAATCAATTTTTTTTTACTTCTTTGTCAGTCTTTCAGTTTTAGTTTAGTTAGGTGTAAAGATAAAATAGTTCACACCTGATGTATCCATTTATTTGACTGCTATATAAACTATAAAAATTTGGGTTTAAAAAATCTAGCATATAAGTATTTGTGGAGTATAAAAGCACATCTTTTAAAAGAGTGACTTTAAAGCTTGGTGTGGTGGCACACGCTTGTAGTCCCTGCTACTGGGGAGACTGAAGTGGGAGGATTGCCTGAACTCAAGAATTTGAGACCAACCTGAGTAGCATAGCAAAAGACCCTGTCAATGAATGAATGAATGGATGAATGGATAAATAAATAAGTAAATGTAAGTAGGTTTTCATGAGCGCCAAAAGACTGTGTTAAAAAAGCCCACAGTTTTAGCAATTTAATTTTTGCATATTTAGTTCAAATGAAAAGTTTTTTAATCATAAGAAAACAGATAATGATTACTCCAGAGACAGGTATGACATACAGGCAATTTAAAGCATGTATTTGAAAATATGTGGATACAGTTAAACAGGATTTTTTTCCCCATGCAAATTCTTGTGAGAGAATAATATTCAACTGGCTGGTGCTGAACTTTTATACATTCCAGAAAGGTGCTTTTTTGTTTGTGGATTGGTACTTAATGTGACTTATGGTTTTTTAATCCTTTGTACTTGGATGTCCCCTCTCAGGGGCCATAAAGAGATTGCTGATGATTATTATACCAGTGCAAATATTTTTTAAATGTATGTTTCCTTGATGTTTTCCATTCAAATTGCACAAAAAGGCAAATAAAGAGATGGAATATATACTGAGGTATATGTAAAGAAATATCAGCTGGCATTACATAGAGAATGTGTGAAATGTTTTCATAGTGGTACACCGACTGGACAATAAATAACATATTATTAATGTGGGAGGAAGAAAACAAGACTGCACTATCTGCTCAAATAGAAAAACACTGGGTGGAAGATGTCAAACAAATTCCTATTGCACAACATGTGTCAGTGAACCTGCGGTGCATATTGGTGACTGTTTCACACGTTACCACGTCAGAAAAATATAACATTTTGGGTTTTTTGTCATAAATAAGTTCTTCAATGTCCAAAATTCCATTATAAACCAAATACCATTACAATAAAATAATTGGTTCCTCTGCTATACTTTTGATATGAAGTTTTTCGCTATTTTGTTAAAAAGTACAGTCTAGTTGCTGGTAGATGATCCATGACATGTCTCCGAGTGCAAAGGATTAAAAATTCTACCAAATATTTTATTATTAACAGGAAACTTTTATATAATAAGTAAATTTAAGATGAAAAACCAAGTCATCTAATTATTTGTAGAAATCTGATTGCTTAGAATTTAGGAAGTTTCTTAACTCATAAAAATGTTTTCATTATCCATATTCATCTTAATGAGTAGTCTCACTGCAAAACAGATGGTAAAGTTTCCTATTCCTTCTGTTGGTTGGTAACAAAAACTGTGGGCGTGTTATAAGTGGGAATCCTCATTTCTAGGTTATTTCCAATCTTTCATCTCATTGAATGTTTGGGGAGTGGGAAAATGTCGTTGTCTAGGTGGGTGGTAATGTTCTACCTTCTTGGTCAGGAGATCTCTCTGTTACTTTCTACCTCCTCCTTTTTCTCCCCTTCCCTTACCAAAAGGTAAATGCAAGGACCATTCCTTCTTCCACCAAACCCTTGCAGGAGAGGTACTGAACTTGAAAGCCTTAGGAATTTCATGGTTTATGCAGCCCCAGCAAAGGGAAGAGGATTGAGTCTAGCCCAAGGGAGCTTATGTAGGTGAATTGTTCTTCAACCTTATGGGGATCGTGCTATTTAGAAAAGTGTGGATAGTTAGGTAATTTGGGGAATATCATTAAAACACAATTTTGGGGTTGTTTCTTTTTCTCCAGTTAATTTTTTTTTCCTTGGGTAAGAATAGAATAAATCCTTATACAACTGTTAGTGTCATAGTAATTTCAAGGTTTTGTTAAGACTGTCTTTTTAGCCAGAGAAATGTGGAATTTCTAGTTAAATTTCAGTGATATCTCAAAATCTTTTTCTGTCTAGTTCTTTTGACTGAATAAGAAAGTCTGATTGATTAAATGAATATTTTGTAAAGTAAACCCATAAGTGTATACCATATTTAATGTAGTTTACGTTTTAAAGTGCACATAACCAAGGGTCAGATGGTCATTAAAAATTTACATGTTTCACGTTAAAATATATATTAAAATTCTTTAACCAATCTCTTATCTTTAATTCATTTTAGGTGATTCAACATGAAAAGCTTGAAGCTCAAGATTCAGGAGAAGCAGCTCAGAATATTTCATTTAATGAATATAATTTTGCTGCCATTGAGCAACAGTTTTGTGACTTGCCCAGTGGTAAAGATGCTGCTGAATGTGACATTGCTGAAATAGATGGGGAACTTTTTGTGACTCAGAGTAACTTTACCTTGATACTGGAAGGTGAAGAAGGAGAAGTTGAGGCAGGTGATTCCACATCATCTAATGTGTTACCTAAAGCAGCTAGCACAGCAACTGAGGAAGAACTTGTGGAGAGTGGAGAAAATGATAATTATGGACTTGCTGCAAATTTGCCGGCTATCATAACAAGTGATCAAGAGTCCCAGAAGGTAGAGACTTTACCATATGTGCCTGAACCAATAAAAGTAGCAATTGCCGAAAATCTATTAGATGTAATTAAAGACACACGAAGTAAAGAAATTACTTCAGATACAATGGAACAGTCTGTTCATGAAAATATACCTTTAATAAGCCAAAAGGTAATGCGTTCCAGCAAATTAGTCAGATCTACATCTAAGACTGTTCAGGAAACAAGCACAGTGTCATGCCAGGTTGATGATATGGTTTCCTCCAGAACTCGCAAGAGAGGACAACGCATCCAAAACCTAAATATCAAATCAGCACAACAGGAAGAGTCAGTTGTTGCTACTAAGATGCTGAGGAAGAAGAAAACTAAAAAAGCAAAAGAAATTTCTGAGACTTCTGAAAGTGCCTATTCAGATATTGAAGGAATATCTCAGAAACAGCAAATGCTTCAAAATTCTGTTACTCCTAGGAGAGGAAGGAGACAAAAAGAAATAAATCAAGACATATCCAAAAATATTAATTCTATGGAGCAAGAATTACAGGTTCCTACAGGTAAGAAACTTAAAAGGTCAAAATCATCTCAGCTGTTGGAACCAGCAGTTGAAGAAACATCTTTTAAAAAAGAAGTTACACTTTCACCTGTTACAAAAAAGACTCCTAGAAGAATTAAAAAGTCTGTAGAAAATAAGGAAAGTATTGAAATTGTAAATGATCTAAAAGTTAGTAAAGTAGCAAGTCCTAACAGAACTATCAGAAAATTGAGAAGTGCTAATTTAGAAGTGTCTGAAAATAAAGGATATAAACAATATGAGAAATCCAGTGACCAGCAGCCACCTATTCGACGTACAAGAAAGGTCATTGAGAAAGAGGTGAGTGCATCAAGTGTAATAGAAGACTCTAAACTTGACTCATCCCACTTTACTCTTCAGGCAGAATTTGATATGCCTGCTATACCTAGGAAACGTGGTAGACCAAGAAAAACACACCCATCTGACAATGTAGAATCCAAGGCTGTTGAGGAAGAGAAAAGTCATAAGAAAGTGCTCAGCATCCAGAGGAGATCTACAAGAAATACCCCAGCTAAAAGCAAGAATATTAGCATTGGAAAACCAGCTTTAGAAAAATCTATTTTAGTGCCAAACGAGGAACTTTCTATGGTGATAAACTCTAAGAAAAAACTTTCAGAAAAAAATGAAAATCAAAGCCAAAAACATAGATTACACTCAGAAGAATGCACAGATGAAGTGACGCACAAAGAATCAAGTGGCCAAGAAGAAAGATTGCTTGCCACAACTTCTTTTACTAAATCATCCCGTAGCACAAGGACTAGATCTAGCAAAGCCATCTTGTTGCCAGATTTTTCTGAACCAAAAAATGAAACTTTGTTACGTTCTCCTGCATCAAAAATTCCAAGGAAAGAAAAAGGTACTCTTCTTTCTATTCAAAACATTATTTTTATCTCATTGAGATTTTTCAGCTTAAAAATTTGATTGTTTAAAAACACTACTTAATTTGACTTGATATAAAACCACCAAAATAATTTGTAGTTACAGAGGATTTATCCCCTCAAAAAAAGAGAAAACAACAAAACACAAACAAATTGAGTTTTTTAGTAGTAAAATTTAAAGTTTTCCTGTTTCAAAGTTTATTTTGAACTTCAATAATTCAGAATGGGTTTGATACGGCTTTTAAGTCCTTTAATTTACTTAACATAGGTTTGTTTATTTTTGAACTGGAGTCTCACTCTGTCAATCAGGCTGGAGTGCAGTTGCATGTTTATGGTTCACTAAAATCTCCAGCTTCCGGGCTCAGGCGATCCTTCCACCTTAGCCTCCAAAGCAGCTGGGACTACGGGGACACACCACCCCACCTAACTAATTTTTGTGTGTGTGTGTGTGTGTAGAGGCGAAGTTTCATTATGTTGCCAGGCTGGTTTTGAACTCCAGGCCTCCAGCAATCCTCCCACCTCAACCTCCTAAAGTACTAGGATTACAGGCGTAAGCCACCACACCTGGCCTTTTAGCTGACTCTTTTATAAGCTAGCTTTATTAAGCTTCTGTAAAAAGTAAAAAAAAGTTAAAACAAAAAACATACAGCAGGGAGTAGTAAAAGAACAATGTCATTAGTAACTTGTACTTTCCTCAAGACCTGGAGAAGTATAATTTAAACACACAAATTGAGGTTTATTTTAGTATAGCAAAGCAAACATATCTCAGTAATTCTGATCTTTGCCATTTTTACATAATTGTCATTTGTTGGCCTACTTTTTTCTAACAACAAAAAATAATATATACCTGCTTACAGAAAATAGAGACTCTTTATATTTTCCTGTGTGTAACTGGGTTTTTTTTAAAAAGCCTGCAGTTTATATATATGTATAAATTCTGCTTTTTCCTCTCATTTATTTCATGAGCATTTTTAGTTACTCTTAAATATTCTTTAAAATTCTAAGCATAATGTTTTGTATCTCTTGTTGCTGTTTTTGTCCATATCATCAGAGACCACATGTAGCATTTCATGCCACAAATGTGCTAAAGATTGCTTAAACATTCTCCTCTTGGGTATTTGAGTTGTTTTCAGATTTTCAAGTGTTAAAAAATAGGTACACTCTAGTATTAAGTGATGGGATTAGAGGTGATAAGAGACTTGAGATTGGGATCTCTCAATTCTGCCACTTAATAGCTGGGCAGAAAATTATTTAGCCTTCTGAGACTTGTTTCCTCACCCTTGGAGTGAAGGTGGTGTTGCATACCTTGCAAGTTCTTATGAGTAGTATACTTTATCATGGCAATCACTGCTGTAGGAGATTTCTTTTCTCCCTTTGTCCTTACAGTTTTTACACTAGTATAGCACTTCCTGTGTCTTGGACCTATCTAAATTGTATTTTAAAAACTCCTTTACGTAGTGGAGGAGAGAGGAGAAGAGTGGATACAGAAATATTATATGATTGGAAGGCTGGAGGTGGTTACTTATTTTATTGAAACCTATCAAAGAAACAAGTATCTTGGTTGAGAGTGGTGGCTCACATCTGTAATCCTAGCATCCTGAGCAATATGAGACTAATCTCTACAAAAAAATGAAAATAAATATCTTAGAATTTTATTTTGTTGTGTTTTACTAACTAATTAAATGTGAAGCTTTACATTTAAGGGCATTTTCTCCTGTTTCTATTACACAACAGCATATATTTGTTAGGACTGACTTGCCATATGCCTGAGGCTATACCAGATATATTACATTCATCAGTTCACTTGCTTCCCACTACAAGCCAGTGAAATATAGCTACCTTCTTTCCACATTGAGGAAATTGAACTTTGGTGAGACTGAGCACTCTCATCACCCAGGTGATAAGTAGTGTTGTCCTAGAGCCAATTCCTGCTTGCTGGTAAGAGCCAATTATTAAATAACAAGAATCTTGTGCCAGGCTCGGTGGCTCAGCCTGTAATCCCGCACCTTGGGAGGCTGAGGTGAGTGAACTGCCTGAGCCCGCGGGTTCGGGACCCGCCTGGGCAACTTGGCAAGACCTCATCTCCACAATAAATCAAAAAAATTAGCTGGGCGTGGTAGCGCGCGCCTGTAGTTCCAGTTACTTGGAAGGCTGAGGCAGAAGGATCGCCAGAGCCCAGCAGGTCGAGGCTGCGGTGCCCGGGAGTGGCCACTGCACTCCAGTCTGGGCGACAGAGTGAGACTCCTACTCAAAAAAAAAGAATCTTGTGAGCTAGCCATGGTTTGAAATTGGCCACAGTAGGCACATTATACCTTAGAAATCAGCAAATGCTGTAAATCAGAGCTGCTTTTGTTTTCAGAGAACCTTTTACTAGCCATTTACTAGCAGACTTACTGAGTTTGAACCTAGTTAAATAGCACTCAAAACATACCCCCAGAAGCTTACAGAGATGGATAAGGAATTAACATACAAACAATACAAGAAAGTCTCATCTGTGCTGTAATAGAAGCATATGGAAGAAATGGTGGCAGCTAGACATTTTTGTACATGATAGTTTATTTTTGTGACTTCTTATTTATTCCTCAGAAATGGAGCAGGAAATCTTAGGTGACTATTATTAACTACTTTATGAAAAGCCAAAGTTGTCACTCCAGGTGGCCTTAAAGAGAGTTATAGAATGCATCATTTTCATATAGAATGTATTTTTGTTCATCTTTTTTTTTAGTGCCATTTCTACCATTTACAAGCTGAGAGCAAAGGGGACTTATTTCTGACCTCATCCCTATTTTTTTGTTAAGAATCACATGCTTTAAGGCCAGGCTTAGTGGCTCATACCTGTGATCCCAGCACTTTGGGAGGCTGAGATGGTAGGATTGCTTTAGCCAAAAGTCCAAGACCAGCCTCAAATTGCCATTAAACATGGGGACCCTAAAGTCAAACATAAGGAAATCCAAGATCAAGTCTGTGTGTTGAATGTTTTTAATTACATATTTTAAACTAATTCTTATTTAAGCCAGTTTTATTTATCTATATATCTTCCTATTAGCCTTTATTCTATATTGTCACTTTTTCTGCTTGCTTTTTCTTTTTGTTACATGAACTTTTCTTTTGTTCCCCTTGACTGAAACAAGGTAGTTCAGAATGAGCTGGCTGGAAAGAGGTTTTGAGTCTCTTTGAGATTAAAAATTTGCTTTGTAAATAAAAATGTCTCTGGAATAGTAGTAATTATGGCACAGACTGGCTCAAGTTATATATGGGATTAATGCTTTCCCTTCCCACAATATTTGAAGAGCAGTAAGGATTAAAACTAGCAGACTAGAGCAATTTTGTACCTGCTTTTTAAATCCTATCATGCTGTACTTTTTTGGTTTGAAGCATTAAACACTCCTAAACACTTTGGTTACCCAAATGACTTGTCTTGTCATTTCTGTCTCCAAAGATAATTAGGTTAAGATATTAATGTTTGCCAGGTTTGGGGATGTTTGCATCTTCCTGAAATGCATAATTTGTTCCAAGTTGTTATTGTAATATGTATATAAAAAGATATCAATACTTTTTTTTCAACTTTTCTTTAGCTAAAAGTATAGAGGCTCCTACCCAGCTGAAAGAATTAGTTTCGGATTTACCTTCTCAGATTGTCCTCTCACCTCCTGCTTTGAGAACCAGGCGAAAGAACACATCTAATATGCCCAAGCTTGTAGATGAACTGGTAAGAAATTCATGATTATGTTTGTTAAAACATACTTTTTATTTTTTTAAACAAATGTTTTATTTACTAAATGAAATTGTGTTAATGATATTTAAATTTTTAATAATTTTAAATGTTTATGTTTAAGTAAATGTTTACTAAATAAATTTCTTTCAAGAAAACAGCCACTTATACTAAAACCCAAAAGTATCTGTCTTACACCCTCAGAGACCCTACTTTTAAGACAGATATGTAGTATGTTACTGATATTTTACTGGCAGCTACAGTTTCAATTACCTGTTAAATTCTAGTATCCATCAGAATTATCTGAGTATGTTTATTTAAGATATAGGTTCTTAGCCGGGCTCGGTGGCTCAGCCTGTAATCCCGCGCCTTTGGGAGGCTGAGGTGAGTGGATTGCCTGAGCCCGCGGATTCGAGGCCCGCCTGGGCAGGTGAGACCTCATCTCTACAATAAATTAAAAAAACTAGCTGGGCGTGGTAGTGCGTGCCTGTAGTTCCAGCTACTTGGAAGGCTGAGGCGGAAGGATCGCCGAAGCCCAGCAGGTCAAGGCTGCGGTGGCCGGGAGCAGCCACTGCACTCCAGTCTGGGCAACAGAGTGAGACTCAAACTCAAAAAAAAAAAAAAAAAAGATATAGGTTCTTGAACCCCTGAGTGCCATTCACTGAGCAGACTTGGAAAGACTGTGTCTTAGGGTCTGTCATCTAGTTGCACATAACTGTAAAACAAACAGTTCAGGGATTGAGTGTAAGTCCCTTCTGTTTATAAGTGTTAATTCATAAGCATTTACTGAATTATCTGCCATGAGTCAACTGCTATGCAAGGGCAAATTACACAAAGATAATTTTGGCAAAGTCCTTGTCTTTCAGCTACTCAAAGTTTAATTGAAGAGACAAAAACTCAAATGAGCATATAACAGCATTATAAGCAGCATTTATACCCAAATACCTCTATAGACAGAAGGTAGAGGACCCAGGCAGTCCTCTAGATAGAGCAAGGAGTAGATGCAAAGTCCCAGAAACATGGCAATGGCAGTTGCTTAGGGAGTGTTCACAGATTAGCAAATAACCTTACGTGTATTTTAGGTGGTTTCTTTTGATAGATGAAATCTGGGTAGGAAAGAATAGTCTCTGGCCTAAATTTTACGAAATGAATGCCTAAATTTGGACAAAGGGAATGGGAACAAATGGGCCAGTGGACAATGGAAACATTTAAAAGTAAAACAACAATTTGGAAATTTGTTGAATTGTAGGAATGAAGAATAAAGAGCAGTTCTAGATAACTAAGGTTTCTACTAAAAATGTGAGGAGTCAGTTTGAACTTGTTGCATTTTAAATTCATTAGCATGACTATTCCTTGTCTAAATGTAGAAGTTTTAAACTTATATTTCAACTGTTTACTACTTAAGCTTTGTCTTTTTAAAATTTTAACCCATAGAAAGATGATGCTAAATTAGTAAAAACTATGGAAGGACAAAAAATGAAAAGAACCAGGCCTGCAGAAACCAAACAGGCAAGCAGGTAGGACTTTCTGTTCTATAGTTTTAATCCATTTGTTTCTCAAAATTAGTCTTAATTTAAAAGGGAAAATCTTAGGAACATTTACAAGCTCCTTGTCATTGTTAGATTTTACTGCTGAAGGTGGATTTCTCCATATAACATGAAAGTCCAATCCTTTTTAAAGAAAAGTGGTGGGGTGGGAAATATAGTACCCAACAAATCTTTCTGTTTGTGCCATGTTTGGGGGAGGGAGGTGGGATGGTTCACCTTTTCATTGGTAAAGTTAGGTAACTATTAGTAAAAAAATAATTATGGACGTAAAAATCCTGTAATTATTTCACAAATAGCAAGAAGCCTCCATTCATGGTAAAATTACTTCATTGCAGATATATTTTTGTTGCACAGTATTTTGTTCATTCTGTGCTTAGGCACATTTTAATTTAATGAAAGTACAAATTAATTCAACTTATTTTTAAAACTGATTTAATAATTCTACTGTAATTAATACAGTTTACATGTAAATTGGTTTTGTTTATATTTGGAAAACTCATGCTTGTGTAATTATGCACATATCTGCTAATTGCTGGTTTTTGAGAATTGCCATGTCTGAGATTCAGTGTGGGCCTGCTGTTCTTTAATCCCCTGGACTGACTAATGGTACTTGTGATCCAGCACCATTACTCTAATTAGCTTACATGACTTAAAGCTTCATTTCACTTCTCTCGAAACCATTATCTCTTATAAAATGAAAGCATTAGACAAGGTAATCCAATCCCTCAGGTGTCTCAAAGATGTTGGGTAACCAGTTATAATTTATACTAATAATGTGTTTGTTCTTACTTGATTATACTTTTTTTTCCAGAAATACAGAAAAAGAAAGTGCTTGGTCACCTCCCCCAGTAAAAATTAAACTGCTTTCTCCTTTGGCAAGCCCAATTGATGAAGTAAAGACCAAACCAAGAAAAATTTCAGAAGTAACAGAAAAAGCTCTTGGAAGAGGCAGAAAGAAACTGTCTTCCTTTCCAAAGCAAGTTTTACGCAGAAAAATGCTGTAATTTTTTTGAAAGTTTTTAATGTACACCTATTTGTAAAGTCATCAGATTATTAAAAATTGTCTACTTTGGGAGAAAGTAATTTATAAATTATTGTAAATTTTTGTAAACAGAAGATCTTCAGTAAGCAAAGTACTCCATACAGAGTGTGATTCTTTCAGTCCAAGCAGTTTTTCTATTTTATATTAATACTTCATACATTTATATAATATGTAAATATGACTTATTGGAATGTTGAATAAAGTATACTTCACAGTAGTTCGTGTCTGTTAGATTTTTGAAGGAGTATTTCTGTTTTGATAATGGTTTTATATTCTAGTAGGCATTGGTCCCATTTTCTTTCTCTATAGTTAAAATATTAGACCAATCTCAAAATGAGGATAATTGAACTAATGGTTTTTTTACGGTTGCTATTTTATAATTTATGCACTTTGATTGTGATTAAGATTTCTAATCATAAAATGTATTTTTTTGTTTTGGTTTGGCTGTTACTATATTGAAAATGAAATACAGGCTTGTAATTTTGCCATCTTTTGTAGTTTCACAAATTTTGTGTAATCTACCTCAAATGAGTAATTTTCTAAGTAATGCATTGGTTAACTATACTGTTGGCATTTCTTGTTCAGCAAGCATAAATGCTCTTTATCTTTAAGGTCTCTAAATTATTCAGAGGCTAATTATCCAGGTTAGATTGACCGGTTCACTGCTCACTGGCAACCTCATAAAAGGTTTTAAGAAGGAAGGGAAATGTAAAATAAATCTGTATAATGGATATTCAATGCACTTTTGTGTGCCTAATATTGAAAGGATATGGAGTTTGAAAAAGTTTTATAAAGTTGCTGTGAAAGAACTTGCTACTGAATCACAGATATCCTTTAATATTTCAGGTTTTAAAACTGGCAAATTATCACAGGACCTCAGGCACAGATTATTGAGAATGAGGAGAGTGTGAATAGATGTGGAAAAAGAAAAAAAAAACCATATTCTCTGAAGTACAACTGTGTGCAATTAAATAATAATACTTGATTTAGGCCATAAAATTCATCAATAAATAAATGTTGTAAAATAATTTATAACAGGTAATTGATAGTCTGTAACGATTGGACCATCAATAATTGATCATGTAGAAACAAGCTGCTTTTGTTGGCTAAGCTTTTAATGTTTTAATGTGAAGTATGAGCAGTGTGCTTTCTGCATTATTTTTCTACCAAATAACAATATGAATAATGGGAAAATGATGAAAATGCCTATGCCAAGTATTGACAGTGTGAAAGTAGCAGTACGAGTGCGGCCTTTTAGTCAGGTTAGTGATAAATGTACATTGCCTTGTTGAAAATTTAACTGACTTTGATTTTATTAATTTTTTACTGATAGTTATCAAACTTGTATTTAAGCTGCTTGTCATTTATGGAATATTGAACTTATTTAAATGAACTTGTTAAATGAATAATTTAAAAATCTGAACACAATTCAGTATACACTTAATTTCATTCCTTTGCGCAAGTAGCACAATAAAAAAATTGACAAGAAATGTACTGTCAATAATTTTTTAAACCAATACAATTTGATGAATATGTGGGTATCTGTTTTAGTTTTCCCTTCTGTAAAAGTAAATCATAAGCAAACAAATTGCCAGTTCTAATGAACTTTATATATTTTAAATGTTTATGTACTTATGTATAAATGTGTTTATATAGTTTTTTTTTTAAATACTCATTAAAATGTGTTGCTACATTTTAGGATGACACATGAATCATACTCATTCTAGAACCTTGTAGAAACCACATATCTTTTATTATCAATGCATTGGTTAATTTTAAGGTAATTCTGAACAAGGGCTCCACTTAGCAAACTTTTAACTATCTGGTATGAATCAAACACTGCTAGATACTGAGAAAACAGTGAAAAATCCTTTGTTCTCTAGCAGCTTACAGTCCCGTATAATTTAGTAGACAGTCTTTTATTAAGCAAGGTACTTAATATCATAGTGGTAAGGTAAGTAATATACCCAGAGAAGGATCAGGTGTAGTTAATTCTACTGGACAGATCTTGAAGGCTCCCTAGATCTACATAGAAGCATTTTAGATGACTCTAAAAGATAAGTAAAATTTAGGTAAGAACAACATGCAGTGGTCTATTTTATTGGACAGTAACTGCTCCTGAATGGGCTATAGCGTAATGATGACCTCTTACGAGGTCTCCCTTTCCACTTCTCCAACTTGCTGCTTTTACTCTTATCCACCAATATTGCTTTATACATCTTTACTTGGTGTCAGTTAACTGTTCTGTGCCTTTACTGTGGAAAACATGTCAGCAGCAAAGCAGCTATGCAATTAGGTAAGTTTAGTTAAATTTGTAACTAGATAACTTTAAGTGTATCAAGCATATTAAAGTTCCTAAAGTGGCATGGTTTCTTAGGCAACTGACAAAAGAATTAACTTGTAACCAGTAAATTAAATGTATTGGCCCAAAAGAAGTGAGGAAAGAAAACCATCTTATAACCTGACCTTCAGTGACAAAGTGGTTAACCCAGGAGTCTTTCTGGTTGACCACCAATAACAAACTGCAGGAAGCAAAGCTGTAAACAAGCAGGGACTTCAGTAAACAGCTGTGCGTCATATACATTAAACACTCATACCTCCTGCATGAGCTTGCTGCTTCCAATCCATTTTTAATCTAGCAGTCAGAAAAATCTTAAAATCAGTGTCTTGTAGCACCCTGCTCAAAACTTTCCAGTTTAAAAATAACATTTTACGCTTTGCAGAGCCTAACTCCATTTCAAGTCCTTAACGTTCATTGTAGGATCAGAGAATGAATTTATGACCCCTTTTTTGTTACAAGAAGCAGTATATTCTCCGAGCCTCTGTTTATCTGTAAAATGGGGCTATTGTTATTTCACAGGATTGATACTGTAAGGAATAGAGGAAATAAAATGTGTGTATCAGGGAGTACATCACCTGACAATTTTAGCTACTCTAGTTTTTTTCACCATAATCTTGCTTAAATTTTATTGCGGTAAATCAAAACAAAAGATTTTTTAATATATTTGGATCATTTCTGTTCCCTTTAGCTGTCATCCTCCCTAATTCTCCAGCCCCAAGCAAGCACTGTAATGAAAATGCCAAACTAAAATGTTTAAAGAGTTTTATTCTGAGCCAAATGTGAATGACCTAGGCCTATAGCACAGGCCCAAGATGTCCTGAGAACACGTGGCCAAAATGGTTTAATTGCAGTTTGGCTTTATGCATTTTTAGGGAACTAGAAATTATAGGCAAAACATAAATCAATATACCCAAGGTTTATGGTTGGCCCCAGGAAGGTGAGACATCAAGGAGGGGGCTTGTAGGCAAAAGGAGATCAAAGATTATAGGATTGGCAATTAGCAGAAAGGGTTAAAATCTGTCTAAATTTGTAATCAGTAAAAGAAATGAGTTAATATGGAAAGGTTGAGTGTAGATGAAACCTCACAAGTGACAGCCCTTAGAATAGATGGCAAATGCCTTTTAAAAAGGAGTTCAGCCAGACACAGTGAGTCTTGCCTGTTGTAACCCCAGCACTGGGAGGCAGAGACCAGAGATTGCCTGAGTCCAGGAGTTTGAAGATTTCCTTAAAGATGTACACCTCTTCTACAAAAGGGTTTAGTTAGCTACATGCCAGAAGGTTGTATTTTGGCCTTTTAGATTTTGGCTTCAGGAGCCCTTTAAGGAAAGGAAGCTAAGAAAGAATGTAGATCTTAGGACCTAAACCATACATTTCTTAACATACAAGGAAACAACCAATAACCATTGTAAGCAACTGTTAGTCACCTAATCATTATATATGCTAAGGCCAACTTTTCAACACAAATCAGTAATTTCTGGTATTCCCAAAAGCCAAAAAGATTAGATAACAAGGTACAAAAGCAATTTTAGACTTGGGAGGAATCTGCTTGCCCTTCTTGGGATTCCATAAGGAATAACAGGTTCTTCAAAGGAGTCTGTGGCACCCTTTCTGTTTTCTTTAAGGGAACTCAGGTTGTCAGAAATTATCTTAGGTCCACTTATGTAGGAGGAACAGACAGAAGCAAAAGAGTTTAAAGATGAAGTTTAATCAACTAAAAAAGCCCCCCCTAAAAAGAATCTTAAAATCATGAAGCCCTTTTCAGTATCTTTTAATTAAGCTGCTTTTAGCCAGAGCTCAAAAAACAAAATACTTTAAAATTTATTAACAAGTTTTAGCCAGGACAAAAGGCTGCTATAGTTCTGGCTTAACCAAAGTATCTTCCCAAGTGCCTTAACCAAGGTAAAAATCATAGACATATGAGGTGAACACAAATATCAAACCAGAAAGGAGAAAATTATTTTCTTAATTTTTACTTTAGATTCAGGGGATACACATGCATATTTGTTTTTTGTGTGTGTGTAGGAGTCTCTCACTCAGGCTGGAGTGCAGTAGCATGTTCACGGCTACTGTAGCCTCGACCTGCTAGGCTCAGGTGATCCTTCTGCCTCAGCCTTCCAAATAACTGGAACCACAGCAGGCCACCACGTGCAGCTAATTTTTCGATTTATTGTAGAGATAAGATCTCACCAAGTTGCCCAGGAACCCCTGGACTCAGGCAATCCTCTCACCTCCGTCTGCATATTTGTTATATGGCTATATTATGTAGTGGTGGGGTTTGGGTCTCAGGTGGCCCATTCCCCAGATAGTGAATATTGTGCCCTGTAGGTAATTTCTGAACCCTAACCCCACTCCCACTCATGAGGCTGAGGTGGAAGGATCGCTTTAGCTCAGAGGTTTGGGGCTACAGTGAGCCATGGTCCTGTCATTGCACTCCAGCCTGGACAATACAGTGAGACCCAGATTCAAATAAAAATAAAGTTCAGGTAGTAATTTTCCAGGTTTTTCCCATATGGTAAGGGGTATTCCTGGAGAGGACTTAGAGAAGACAATCTCCATGATTCCTAAAATCTCACTCTCGGAAATAGACTTATGCCAAAAGACAACAAAAGCTCTTAGGGATGGGATCCTTTAAGACAAAACTACCCTGAGAGCTTGACATGTTCAGAGTGAAAGTATGTATACTGCTTAAAACCTTACGTGTCACAGACTCCCAGTCCTTTCTAACTGGCCACTTGAGTAGCCTGATGTGAACCCAAAAATCATGACCTACGAATAACAGAGGCCGAGAGAGCATCCCCTCAAGGTCACAAAGTCCAGCTCTCAAGGACATAAGACAAGGCCAGGCATGGTGGCTCATGCCTGTAATCCCAACACTGGGAGGCTGAGGCAAGAGGATAACTTGAGCCCAGGGGTTCAAGACCAGTTTGGGCAACAGAGTGAGACTCCGACTTAAAAAAAAAAAAATAACCGGGCATGATGGTGTATGTCCATAGTTCCAACTACTCAGGAGACTGGCACAAAAGGATCGCCTGATGCCAGGAGGTTGAAGCTGCGGTGAGCTATGATGGTGCCACTGTACTTCAGCCTAGGTGACAGAGTGAGAACCTGACTCAAAAACAAAAAATGGGACAAGAGGGAAACTTCATCTGGTTTTTGCCTCAAGGACCGACAGCCAAGTTTACCTTAAAACACCAGTCTGGTCAGAACTGGAAAACTGACTAGTCTGCAGGGCCTGCTTGAACAGCGGGCTTTTAGGGTTCTAGGTCCACGTTCTACCCTATGGTACCCTCTTTATAACAGAATGCTACAAAAAGACAAAGGCAAAAGAAAACAGGCTGAGTACAGTGCCTCACGCCTGTAATCCCAACTTGGGAGACAGGTGGAAGGATTGTTTGAGCCCAGCTGGAGACCAGCCTGAGCAACATAGTGAGACCTTGTATCTATAAAAAATAACAAAATTAGCCACGCATGGTTATGCACACCTGTAGTCCCAGCTACTTGGGAGACTGAGGCAGAAGGATTGCCTGAGCCCAGGAGGTGACGGCTGCAGTGAGCTGTGATTGTGCCGCTGCATTCCAACCTGGACAACGGTGAGACGCCCAACTCAAAAAAGAAAAAAAAAAAAAAAAAAAGAAAACAGCAACAAAAAAGTTATTTCTCAGAGGAAAGGGGATCAACAATATAAATATTCATATCACATAGTACCAAAAATAAAAAAGGCAACCAGGCCAGGATCCAAGGACACTGGGTACAAAAGTGGCTTTAGGTGTGCAGCCAAATGACCCTTCATGGAAAATGCTACGTACACACACCAGTCAAGCCAGCTCTGCTCAGTACTAGAAGAATTTCTGGAACCCCGCAGGGCTGTTTGGGTAAGCCCCTGAATTAAAAACACCTAGGTACCAAGTCATTCTCCCATTGACAGCCAGGCAGTACAGAAAACAAGGCTATGGTGGGATTTGGGTCCTCAAAGCGTTGGAGGGGCTTCCAAGAGAGAAAAGAAAGGTAGGGGACAGGTCCTACAGCCCCACACCCCCACACACATGCATGGCTAGAAAGCAGCAGACTTGGCAGCGGCCTGCGGCTGTACCCAGAGTCGTCCAAAGCGATGAACCTCGTCCATCCACTTCCACTTCCACTTGACCCGGAGGGTCAAAGGCGGGCTCTGAGCCCATGCGGGAAGGGAGGCAAGGGGTGTCCTCTCCCCCCGGAATCTGTCAGGACCTTTGCCCGGGGAATGGTCGTGAGTGGCCGTGGGTAGGAGAGGAGGAAGACTGATTCAGGGAGCATCTCTTCACAGGCCCCTCTTGGGGGGGAGGCATTCCCCTCCCCCCAGCCACCCTCTCCATCCACATCCTGAGGGGAAAGGTGGGGGG